CCGAGACCTGCCGGCTGCCTGTGGCTGAGGCACTAACTCCCTTCACTTGACAATCACCGGGCATTTCTGTCAACGAAACTCCACCTCTGGTTAGACATAACCCCTTCGGTCCTACGACAAACCCAAGATCTGCTGCGGGAGACCCCCGCGGGGTAGGAGCCGGCCTGCAGCCCTCGGGGCCCCACCCCATCTCAGAGGCCTTTCCATCCCCTGCCTCGCCCGGTCCAGCCGTAAAGCCCTCACCCTCAGCGCTCAACCCAGGCTCATGTACCGCACAGGCTGCTTCCAGCTCGAGTGGCAGCGAGCCGCATGCGACTCAGCGGGCTGCATATTCTTTCTCTCTCTCTCTAAAAAAAAACAACACAGCAGCCCGGTGGCAACACAACCTGGCCACAGGAACCGGGGATTCTTCGGGAGCACCTACGTAGAACCTATTTTAATGCCCGGACTCAAACATCAGCAGGCACTCGGTAAACACTTGTGCTACTGTGTGTGGGTCCCGCCTGCTCCCAGAGACTCGGACGACCCTGGGGGCAGAGACTTTGGGGGTTTTATCCACACTCCCCTCTCCCTCCGCCCAGGAGCACCTGGCCCCTCGGTCTGAGAAGCCCCGGGCCTGTCGGCTTCTCCGCAGTGAATCCGCGTCTCCCTCCCTGCACTCCAGTCTCCACGCGAACACTTCACCTTGCTCCTCTCTCCCGATTACCCAAACCTGGAGCCCGAGGGTGTGGCCCTCTGCCACCACCCACAGGCCCTCGCTGGGGACAGGCCCACAGCGTCCAGGAAAGGAGCCGCCGCGCCTCGGGTCCTGCCCAACTCCTCCCGGCCCCCGGCCCCCGGCTCCAGCCCAGAAAGCCAGTTCTTCCAAGCCCCCCCTTCCCAGTCCCAGGGAAAATCCAGGCTCTCTCCATCCACGTCCGAAATCTCAGAACAGCCCAGCGTGGGCTCCCCCCGGGACTTACCGGACGCCTTGGAGGAGCGGCCGGAGGAGGCCGAGTCCCGGGAGCCGGACCGCTCCCTCTTCACGGGGCTCTTCTTCTCCGAGGTGGAGCCTGTGTCCAGACACACACACTGCAAACGCCTGTGATCGCCGTCCCGCACGGTCCCCCAGAGCTTTACCAACTCCATTCACACCTCTCCTCTCCTCCCATCCGCGTATCCATCCACCCGTCCACCCACCACCTTCCAGGCGCCCGCCTCTGACTGCGCGGAGAGGACAGGAGGCGGGAGGGGCAGGGCGGGCAGCTACAAGATGGCGTAGACGGGCAGGGAGAGGGGCTGGGAGCCCCGGCCAGGCTCTCACGCAGGACAGAGGCAGGAGGGGAGAAGGGAGAGGAGGGGAGAGGTGACCCCACCCCGAGTCCTAAGGGCCAGCAGGGTTTCCAGGGAAAGCACAGAGGAGAGGGAACTCTGAGCAGCCGGAAAAGCGTCTGTGTGGTCGAAGGCTGTGTGTGGCACGTGGGCTGCAGGGTAGCGAGGAGGGAGCAGGGAACTGAAGCTGGGCGCGGTGGGATGCCAGGGATGCATCCGCAGGGAGGTGAGGCACCGCAGTGGAGGGTCACGCTCACGGGTGTGAGTCTGCCACAGCACAGGGAGGCCGGCCTGCTGGGCAGGTCTCTCAAAGCCCATCTTACAGATGAGCGCTCTGAGGCTAGGACAGGCGACAGGCCCTGTCCAAGGTCATGCGGGTCGCAGGTGGAGGAGGAAGAGGAGGCCCAGTCTCCAACCCCACACCGTCTCTCCCCGACACCACCCCGCACGCGCTCTGCATTTCTGCGTGAACAGCGTTGTACTTGTTCCCTCGATCCTGTGGGCTGCAGCCGAATGCCCTGCTCCGACTGTGTGTCCTCTTAAATGCTGGGTCGGATGTTCACGTCCGTCCAGGACACTGGCCTGTGTTCGTAAACCTCAGTCACGGGCACATGCCGTCAGGTTGGCTCGCAGAGGAAATAACGAGTGAACCTTCTCCCAGGCAGCAATTCAGACAGAGCGTGAACTTGGACCCTAAGAAACCTCAATGCTTCTTCCTATTCATTAAGAATTCTAGGGCTAGGGCTAGGGCTAGGCCAGTGTGGCTCAGGGGTTGAGCATCAACCGAGGAACCAGGAGGTCACGGTTCGATTCCCAGTCAGGGCACATGCCCGGGTTGCAGACTCGACCCCCAGTGGGGGCCGTGCAGGAGGCAGCCGATCCATGATTCTCTCTCATCATTGATGTTTCTATCTCTCCCTCTCCCTTTCTCTCTGAAATAAATATATATTTTTAAAGGAATAAACTTTTTTTTAATATATTTTTATTGATTTCAGAGAGGAAGGGAGAGGGAGGGAGAGAGAGAGAAACATCGATGAGAGAGAATCATGGATTGGCTGCCTCCTGCACACCCCCTAGTGGGGATCAAGCATGCGGACCCAGGTAGTGCCCTTGACCGGAATCGAACCTGGAACCCTTCAGTCTACTGGCCAACTGAGCCAAACTGGCCAGGGTGTGAACTTCTTTAAAAAAAAAAAAAAAAATTCTAGAGCTAGGAAGAACCTATTTGGACTTCTATTTTCTTACAACACCAAAAAAAGGGGGGGGGGAGCAAACTCTGAATTCATTTCCTTCTCTAGGTAGCTCTCCCCCAGGCCTGCTGGCCAGCAGTCTGGCACCAGGGCCACGTGGAAGGGGGGCAGCTGTCTAGACCAGCACAGGCCGCCCCCAAGGGTAGACGCAGAGGCCGACCTTCGGTCACCAGCTCCTCATCCTCGTTGTCTGTGCTGCTCGGCTTCTCCGCGTCGCTCTCCAAGCCCTCGCTCCGCGGGCCCTTCTCCAGGGGCCCCTCGCTGCTCACGAAGTACGCGGCCAGGCCCAGCTCCTGCTCCAGCGCCGTGCGCACCAAGCAGGAGGAGTTGATTAGGCGCAGGTCACAGTACCTCAGAGACCTGGAGGCGACACAGGGGTCCGTGCAGGGCCTCGAAGGGAACGGGCGCACGGGGCCAGCACCCGCCTTCCCTGGGCCCAGCACGGGTGCACACAGAAAAGCGGTGCATTCCGGCGAGCCTCCGCCACCACGGCATGCGGTGGTGCAGCTGCAAGTGTCGGGGGCACCTGCTGTGGACTGGCCCGGGCTGCAGCTCCTACTGTTGTTACGCAAGCAAAGATGTGCAAAGGCCCCGAGCATGACCACCCGCCCTGCCCCGTGGATGTGAAGTTCGTCTTTAAAAGCCAACCTGGCCCTGGCCGGTTTGGCTCAGTGGATAGAGCATTGGCTTGCAGACTGACGGGTCCCAGGTTCGATTCTGATCAAGGGCAAATGCCTGAGTTGTGGGTTCGATCCCCAGTAGGGGGCGTGCAGGAGGCAGCTGGTCAATGATTCTCTCTCATCATTGATGTTTCTATCGCTCTCTTCCTTTCCCTTCCTCTCTGAAATCAATAAACATATATTTGGGGGGGAAAAAGCCAGCCAGCCTGTCACCCCCATTCCAGCAACTGCTTCCTGAAGGAGGTGCCCTCTGCCCCGAGTGTCTGCCCAACTGTGTGAGACCTGGGAGACGCCCAGTGGGCTTGTGGCCACCATCTGCTCGGCGGTGATGGCCGGGCACCGCAGCCTGTGAGTCAGCCAGCCCTGTGGCCCAGTCCTCCCCTGTCCCAGGACCCCTCCTAAATCAGGAGGAACCCGCTATCCCTGCAGCCTAGACACAGCGGGAAAGGTAACCCCAGCCCCCGAGATGACCCCATACTGCCCTCAATGGGCCGGCCATCCCTAACAGACGGCGGCCGCCCTCCCCCTGCCATGGGGAGAATCCAAGAGGCATTAAACCCGGTCTCCAGCGGCAGGGCCCCACCCAGCGCCCCCGCCCCGCCCCCACAGGCAGGTGTCTGTCAGGGAACTAGGCAGACTGTCCCAGGTCCCAGACACATGGCCGGGCTCCCCACTCACCTGGGTAAGGACTCCCCATGTGGGTCCATCCCGCTGAAGATGAGGATGCAAGGCAGGCCCTCCAACTCCAGGTAAGTCTGAGGCCTCCACTCGGCATCCTCAATGTTCTGCCACATCTGCAGACCATTCAGAAGAAGGGGAACCTGAGACCCCGACCCCCCGCTGCCCAGCCCTAGGGGCACCCCGATGGCCTCCTGTGGATGTAAAGCTCTTGCATTGTGTCCTCTGATAGGAGGGAAAGTTCCTTGTACTGCAAAGTGTAGGTCACCTGCTCCTCCACCGCCTTCCCACCACGGCACGCTGCCTGGCACGCACGCTAGCTGCTGAGAAACACCTGCTCCCTGAGTCCTTGGGCGGCACAAACCCTGTGTGTCTACTGTCATTACTGTTTCTCAGCCGCGGGGCTGGCCTCTCCCTCATAGGCCCTGCTCGCTACTGTCCCCATATTCTTCCTAACGCTTGTTCTGCCACTTCCATCACCTGTGGGTTTAGTGAGAAGCTACGATAGGCCCGACACTGTGCTAGGGTTGGGAGACTGCGGCCTTTGGGGGTGGTTCCTGCCCTCTCCTAACGCTCTGCCACTTCCATCACCTGTGGGTTTAGTGAGAAGCTACAATAGGCCCGACACTGTGCTAGGGTTGGGAGACTGCGGCCTTTGGGGGTGGTTCCTGCCCTCCATCGCCTGGGGGAAGAGCCAGATGACAGACAGGGAACACCAAACCAGCCCCAGGTGTGTGTGGGGGAATGCCCCAGGTATGGGAGGAGGGTCCCAGGTATGGGGGGATGCCCCAGGTATGGGGGGAGGGCGGAAAAGATGCTGACTGAGTCCCGCAGGTGACAGACACTAGCTAAGCAAAGGGGAAGTGCCGTCCAGGAAGAAAGAAGAGCCGGCCACAGTCTGGAAGCTTAAAACAGCAAGACTGTGTTTTGGGGGAGCAGGGAGGGGGTGGCCCCTGGACTGAAGGATGCAGGCAGGGAGGGCGCTGGCGGGGAGGCAGGTGCAGAGAGGCCCGATGGGCTCGTGTTAAGGAGCTGGTCCCCACCTGGCCTCCCGCCCCTCGGACACCAGGCCCCACCCACGCTC